ACTCTACCACTTGTACCACAGCTCTACATCTTGCTTTTTTGGTGGTTAATCGGAGATAAGAGTCTCATGGACTTTCCTGCCTGGACTGACTTTGAACTATGTCCTCATCTTAGCCTCCTGAGTTGCTAGGAACAGGTGTGAACCACCAGTGCCCAGTTTGAGTCATTGTTGTGCTTTTTTAAAAATACAAGTACATAAACTGAGGGAGTCTTAGGAAGTTTAAGAAGTTTTCCCCAAACCAGGCACCCATGGCTCACACCTATAATTCTAACTCCTTAGGAGGCTGAGATCTGAAGATCAGTTCAAAGCCAGCCTCAGCAGAAAAGTCTGTGAGACTCTCACTGTCAATTGACTAGCCCAAAGCAGCTGCAAGTAGAAGCATGACTCAAGCGTTAGAGCATCATTCAAGGGTAAAGAAGTCAAGCAGTTGTGAAGCCCCTATTTCAAGTACCAGTACTAGTGTGTGCATGCAAGTGTGCACATACATGCACACACACACATACACACAAATACTTGCCCCAGATCCCACACCTGGTATGTCAGGAGTTAGGACTCAGCCTTGTCAGATTTTTTCCCCTTTATGTAAAAGATTTAAAAGACTATCTTCCCATTTAATATTTCTATTTTTGATGACTATAAAAGTAATGCAGCTTATTAATCTTAAAAAATATGAAGAAATGCAAAAAAGAAAACATAAAATTCCCATATCTGAACCACATAGGGATAGCCACTATCAACATACCCTGTTTAAAAATATGAATAGTCACACACACACACACACACACACACACACACACACGTACACAAACACACACACACATACACACAATTACAGAATGATATATATGAGTAAAGCAGCCAAACAATTGTGAAGCCCTTAGTCCCAATACCACATTTCATTATGGGGACTTTCACCTCCTCTGCAGGGCAGAGACAATAGCAACATGAACCATCATGCATTCTCCACTTAAAAATCATTTTCCAGCCTCTGAATGTAACTTTTGATGGCTGCCTCATATTTTAATGCTAATTTAGCCAATTTATGTCAGTGGGCATTTGCGTTGTTCATTACTGGCAATAACACAGAAGAGTAGAGCTTTCTGAATTATTCTTTGTATAAATGTTAAGATGGTTACCTCAGAATAAATTCCTGGACATATTGTTCCTTGATTGAAGTGGATGAATATTCTAAGACTTTTGATACCTGTTGTTGACTGAAAAGTTCCTATCAGCTCCCCATATCTTCTCCAAATAACAGTTTATGGGAGAGATATTTTCCTACCATCTCAAATAACTAGGTATTATTATTATTACTACTATTATTATTATTATTTTGCCAATCCTTGGGCTTGCACTCAGGTCCTAAGCACTGTCCCTGAGCTTCTTTTGCTCATGGATAGCACTCTACCATTTGAGCCACAGCACCACTTCTGGCCTTTTCTGTTTATATGGTACTGAGGAATGGAACCCAGGGCCTCATGCATGCTAGGCAAGCACTCTACCACTAAGCCACATCCCAGGCACCAGGTCTTATTTCTCAAATAGACATTTGCCTATAGAATGGGTTGGTTGACACTTTGGTGGTCTTCTTCCACCCCTACCCCATACCATTTGTCAAATTAGCTCCAAATAGAGAAAGACAGTCTCTCATATCAATAAGATTTCCTCAGGTCTGAGAATTAAAATAAAAATACAGAATAAATTATTTATTCTTTCCATTTTTTCTATCCTTTTCCCCTATCCTATGTGTCTCATACAGGTAACTTGGTACCTGGCACTTGTCCCAGCTTATAAGAACGAAGTTTTTATTTCCGATGATGAGCCACAGATCATGACTAAGTAGCACCAGCCACAAGATCAAAGCATTGCATCCTAGCTAGTGCTACATCCAGATTCGCATGTGTCATCCAGTATCTCCATCTGCTTCCAGACTGGCAAACCCAGGTAGCCATCATGTTTAAATGTGCAGAGACCAGGACACAGAACCACTTCTAAGGGAACTGCAATATCCCTGATGTACATTTCTCCTTATCCCTTTTCCCCTCCCCTGACTTCCCTTCCCCCTCTCTTACCCATTCACACTTGTAAAAATGTAAAACAACAACACTCCTATCATCAAATGGTTTTGAATGCTATGTTTAAATAAAAGGATAAGTAAAAAGGTTAAACATTTCTCCATCTGGTGGCTAGGGATGTAGCTCAATGACAGAGCATGTGCTCAGCACACATAAAGCCCCTATTTCAATCCCTAGCATATAAAAGAAAATAAAGCTTCTCAGGCTGGGGACATGATTTAGCAGTAGAGCACCTCTGTGACAAGAATGAGGCTCTGACTTCAAACCCCAATCCCATCAAATTTTTTTATTTTAATTTGTAATATAGCAAATTTAAAAAGATACGATTCATATTAAAAAAAACAAAAACAAAACCTGTTTGATCTTGGACTTCCCAACCTCCAAAACTGTGAGAAATAATCTCTTGTTTGTAGCTTATGGTAGAAATGGACTAAGCAACCCAAGTGGACTAAGACAAGACTTTTCAGCAGTTGTAAGCAAGCTTCAATGGTTGTAAAGATCAAAGATTCACTCAAGATAGCTCAATAGGTCCGGGAATGTGGCTTAATGGTAGAGTGCTTGCCTAGTATGCATGAAGCCTTGGGTTCCATTCCTCAGTACCACATACACAGAAACAGCCAGAAGTGCTGCTGTGGCTCAAGTGGTAGAGTTAGCCTAGAAGAGCTAGCCTAGAAGCCCAGGTTCTGAGTTCAATCCCCAGAACTGGCACACACACAAAAAAAGATAGCTCAGTAAAATTATACACAAACTCCCACTAAAAACTCAAGTCATGCAACTATCCTCTATTTTCATCTCACACTCCCCTTATTACACAGCTTTCCTGCTTTACTCATATTCAGATTGTCGATTCCATTTTCAGTGAATTAAAAATCATTCCACTCTGAAGATAGACCACATCTTTTTTACTGCCGTTATTATTATTCAAGACCTGCTGACATGACTTTTTACAGTAAAAATGATTCTATTTTATGCCACATGGTCTTACTGTAACTTTTATAGTAGATCCAACTGGACCACAACATTTATGCCATTGAACTATGTTGTGTGTTTTTAGCCAGTTGAATGATGGCTTGATACCTTGTCTTATTTTTAAAACTTATCCTGCTAGACTTTCAGAGCATTTCACTGACTTCTCTGATGATAAAAGAAAAGCAAAACACAGGCATACACAGAGTGATTATTAAATAGGATCCTAGGCTTCTGTTTTGGAGACTGATGGGCCTATGAACCAGTTTGTTTTACAAGTCAGGTCTATCTTGAAATGGGGGCATCAGGAAGTTAGAAGAGCAGGTGCCTTTTTGATGGAGGCTTTGGGAAATTCCAGGTTTGAAGAGAATAGTGTTTGTTAAACTTCAGTGAGCATACCAGTCATTTGGAGCCTCCCAAAAATTCAAATAGATCTGGCCTGAGGCCCAGGACTCACCATGTTATCCTCCCTACCTCCCAACTGACAATATACTCAACTCTCAGAGAAGCTATGATGAGATGACATGGCTTTATTGGTTTCTTTTGATTCTGAGATTCCCTGCCATGAAATAATGGAATGATGAAAAGTGAGTAGTAGACTGAGGACACATTTGGATTGGACTCAATAAGTTGATTATAGGAAAAGGGAGGGCTTGGTGGAACTCAGGGGCAGCTTTCCGTCTGGCTCCCAGCTCCATCAATAGGATGGGACTAGGCTGATTCTCCCATTGAATGTGTTCCCTGAATGATTAGAATCAGCAGTCTCCTCAACCAGGTGACTCCATGCTCCATGCTTGCCTCAAACTTGGTAAAGATTACAAACTACACCTTCAAGTTCCAGTCCCTGAAAATGCCTTGTTAATGTCATGTCACCTTGAAATCAGGATGGTTAGGTGCTTTCAACAGTAAGACACTTCCCTTTACTGTCAGAATATTGTATTGCTCATTTCAGAAGTCCCAATTACATTTCACTTCTTCTTCCTAGAAAGAATAAGATGAATTTGTGTCAGTTTGATGAAGTGTAATAGATGTTTGTTTGGTCACTTCTCAGAATTCATAACAATACTCTACCCATTGGCCCTCTTAGTCTCTGTCACTGCTTTTGGGTCTGAACCTAAAGGTTCCATAAGATAAGCTTTGTCTTCTTTTTCTTTTTCTTTTTTTTGGGGGGAGGGTCCGGTCTTGGGGCCTGAACTCTGGGCCTGGGTGCTATCCCTCAGCTCTTCAGCTCAAGGCTAGCACTCTACCACTTGAGCCACAGTGCCACTTCCGGCTTTTTTCTTTTTGTTTATGTGGTGCTGAGGAATGGAACCCAGGGCCTCATGCATGCAAGGCAAGCGCTCTACCACTGAGCCACCTTCCCAGCCCCTTCTTTTTCTTTTTAAACAAGAAGTTTATTTAAACAACAAGACGCTTGATTTGAAGGGAAAACTATCTAGGATTTTTTTTTAAGAGTAATTTACCCCTACTTAAAGACAGATTACCCTACATGTAACAGCTACGTACAAAAAAGATATAAAATTGTCCTTGGTTTTACAATGATAAATGAAAAAATTTTAAATTCTTCGATCAAAAAAGGATTTTTGTTTTTGTTTTTGTTTTTTTTTTGTTAAAACAGTGAGAGCAAAATAGCTTACTGAAATATAAAGATAAAAGCTGAATGTGCATGCCACGAATGGAGAAGGGGTATATTTTCATAGGACCAGTATTTTTCCCCATCCCATCTCCATTTGATGTCAATCAAAATATACCATTGGCCATTTAGTTTAAAAGAAATAAAAAAGAAAAAGAAAAAAGAAAAGCAATATGCTTGTGCACATATACCAGTTACGTTAAGTACGATAAAGGAATGGAGAAGGGGAAAATAAAAGAATAGAGAAAACTATACTGTAGTAGTCAGGATGTGGCGGACCCAAATTGCAGTTTTCTAATTAAGAATGTAATCTTGGTTTATAAGAACAAAGTTCTGGAGCAAAGTAGCAGGTTCCCTTTTTTAGTAGACGCCTCCTGTCTGCTGCTGGAACACATCAATTGTATCTCCATCCTCCATTTCCAACTGTGCAGGTGTGTCTGCTTCATTGATTGGCTGCCCATTAAATCGGAATCTGACCTGCCTCATTGACAAACCCTGTCGTTCACAATAGGCTTTCATTAGTTTACTAAGTGGTGTGTGCCTCTTCATCTTAAACTGCACCACAGAACCATCCTGCACCGCCACCTTCAAATGAATATGATCGTTGTTCTCAGTCTTGACTCCTTCCTTGGGCTTTTTGTGGGTCATCGCGAGTGAGCGCCAGAGTCTCCTCAGATGCCGCTTCATACAGGCAGCAGCACCACAGCAGCTGGAGGCGGAGGACGCCCTTTATCTTCTTTTCTTTAATACCATCCTATGATTAGCTATCAAATGGTTCTATTTGCTCTGTTCTGTTTTCTATCTACCTGTGCTTCAAGATAAAGTCTATGCGAAGGTATGGTTTTTGTCTGTGTTGTTCCCAGGGCTTAAAACAGTACCTGGTTCTCCATAAATTTTTAATAAATATTTGAGGGGATAAATAAATTAGGTTATTTCATTTCTGACACACTGAGGGACAGCAAGGTAGAATGTCTTCAAGCCAAGAGCTGGAAAAGTAGTAGTTTATAAGGACCAAGGTTAGACAAGAAGCATCATTTAGAGAAACAAGACCAAGCATGTCAAAGAGATCATCTCAATTGGAGTTTAATAGAGAGGAGTCGAGAGCCCTGACCCTGAGATAAACCCATAACCCTAAGACCAGAAAGGACAATGTCAGAACTGTGGTTAAAATCCTAAAGCCTAGAGACTAGATGAAAGGTCAGAGGTTGAGCAGGGAAAGGGGATGAAAATTCTGTTTCCTTCAGTAGCCTTAAAAATTGGGGCTGGGAAGGTGGCTCAGTGGTAGAGTGCTTGCCTTGCATGCATGAGGCTCTGGATTCTATCCCTCAGTACCACATAAGCAGAAAAAGCCAGAAGTGGTGCTGTGGTCAAGTGGTAGAGTGAGTGGTAGCCTTGAGTTGAAAAGTTGAGGGACAGCGCCCAGGCCCAGAGTTCAGGCCTCACTACCGACAAAAAAAAAAAAAAGTAAAATAAAAATTGTTATATTTACCTAATTCACATTGAGTAGTAGCAAGCTTTGATTGACATGTGATACTCATCAGGAAAACCTTTTTTTTTTTTTTTTTTTGGTCAGTTGTGGGGCTTGAACTCTAGGCCTGGCGCTGTCCTTCAGCTCTTCAGCTCAAGGCTAGAGCTCTACCATTTGAGGCACAGTACCACTTCAGGTTTTCTGGTGATTTATTGGAGATAAAAGTTTCATGGACTTTCCTTCCTGGGCTGGCTTTCAACCGCCATCCACAAATCTCAGCCTCCTGAGTAGCTAGGATTACAGGCGTGAGCTACCAGCACCCAGCTTCATCAGGGAAACTTCTAAGTGATAAGAAAATAAAAATACTGGGTAAACTGGTCAAATGTAGCACCTAAAGCAGACACCAGTGGCTCCTCCTGCAATTCTAGATACTTAAGTGGCTGAAATCTAAGGATCAAGGTTCAAGGCAGGCCAGGCAGACAAATCGAAGAGACTCTTAACTCTGTCACCACCAAAAAGAGTCAGAAGTGGAAATGTGGCTCAAGTGCGTAGAATGCCAGCCGCAGCAAAACACAAAACAAACAAACAAAAAAAACACACAAAAAACAAAAACTAATCAAGAAGGTAAGGCCCTGAGTTCAAGCCTCAGTACTGACATAAAAAACAAAAAGCAAAAAACAAAAAAACCCACAGGACTGGGAAGGTGACTCAGTGGTAGAGTGCTTGCCTGCATGCAAGAGGCCCTGGGTTCAATTCCTCAGCACCACATAAGCAGAAAAAGCCAGAAGTGGCACTGTGGCTCAAGTGGTAGAGCTCTAGCCTTCAGCTGAAGAGCTGAGGGACAGTGCCCAGGCCCAGGGTTCAGGCCCCACGATCAACAACAACAACAAAAAAAAACAAAACAAAAACCCACCATAAATAATCCACATACCACTTTGATTTTGGCATGCTTTTTTTTCACACTATAGAACCTGACACATTCATTAACATTGCTAGGCATAATTTGAATCTCTGCATTTTTTTTTTCATATTTTAAAGAATGTCTTCGTATTCTTCTTATTTTCTTGAAGTAGTTGTACAAGGGAATTGCCATTTAACAAAGCAATTTATGAATACAATGAATCTTAATCAATGCCACCTCTTTCAATATTTCCACTTCTGACTCTTTTGGTGGTTAATTAAAGAGTCTCTCTGATTTGTCTGCCTGGCCTGTCTTTGAACCTTGATCCTTAGATTTCAGCCACCTAAGTATTGCAGGAAGAGCCACTGGTGTCTGCTTTAGGTGCTACATTTGACCAGTTTACCCAGTATTTTTATTTTCTTATCACTTAGAAGTTTCTCTTATAAAGCTGGGTGCTGGTGGCTCACACCTGTAATCCTAGTTACTCAGGAGGCTGAGATCTGAGGATCGCGGTTCAAAGCTTGAACTCGGGGCCTGGGTGTTGTCCATGAGCTTTAGTGCTTATGGCACTCTACCACTCTACCACTTGATTTTTTTTGGTAGTTAATTGGAGATAAGAATCTCATGGGCTTTCCTGCTCAGGCTGGTTTTGAACCACGATCATCAGATCTCAGCTTTCTGAGTAGCTAGGATTATAGGCATGAGCCACCAGCACCCAGCTTCATTATATTTTTTACACATTTCACTTTTTTTAGTTGTTGTATGTTGGTTATAGGGCTTGAATTCAGGACCTGGGCACTGTCCCTGAGCTCTTTTACTCAAGGCTAGCACTCTATCACTTTGAGCCACAGTACCAATTCTGATTTTCTGGTGATTAACTTGAGATAAGACTCTGGCAGACTTAACTGCCCAGGCTGGATTTAAACCATAACCTTTAGGTCTCAGTCTCCTGAGTAGCTAGAATTAGAAGCATGAACCACCAGAGCCCAGCATGTTTAACATTTTATTGCGAAACAATTATAGACTTACAGTAAATTGGCAAAAGAAGAATTTCTATATACCTGATTCTCCAAATGTTGGCATTTGCTGTTTTCCTCACCTGTCTGTTCCATTATGATTTTTCTCCAAATCATTTCTGAGTGAGCTGTAGATGCAAGAACGCTTTGTGCCTAAGCAGCTCTGTGTCCTAAAACAGGACCTTATCTTAATAGGACCACAGTTTATCAAAATCTAGACAAGAATCAATTAGCATCTATTCACTACTCTATTGTAATCTGCAGATCTTATTCAAATTTTAGAGATTGTCTAATGTCTTTTGGAGCATCTGGAGACTAGGCCTGCACTTTAATCCCTGCTGTGTTCAGTCACTGGCCTGGAGAGCATGAATGACATGGTGAGTCCAAACAGCTGGGACTGTCCATCATTTCTCCCCACAGTGAGAGGGCTGAGTGGTAAATTTCCATGGCTGTCACAGGCTGCATTCTTGTGACCCAACAAGACAGGCCAAAAGAGTCCCAGAGGTCTGTCCTGAATAGTTGGACTGTTGAGCCTAGGCTGGCAGCTGTCTGACTCTCAATCTCTTCGTAGGTCAGAAATGGGAAACCCATACCCACTTCAGCCACCATAAATCAGGCCTTCTGTTGGTTGTGGCCATGACCATTTATGATATAATCCTCTAAAAGTTGGAACACCAAATTTTATATCCATGTATGCTTGCATGTTCTTTCTTTCTGTCTCTCTGTCTCTCTGTCTGTCTCTTTCTGTCTCTCTGTTTCTCTCTCTCTCTCTCTCTCCCCCCCCCACACACACACACACCCCTGCTTCCCCTAAGCACATTCAACACATTTTCTCACTTCAATTTTTTGGATGAGTTTTAATAGGCATGGTACCTTTCTTTAGCATCTAATCTCACCAGGTCATAGAATTTTGGAGTTAAAAGAAATCTGAGAGGTGGTGATCTCATCTAACTTTTTCACACTGCATATCTTTTAAGATCCTTGTTTACATAATGAAGTGGCTGTGAAAGGTGAAAGGTGATGTCACAGCAGGGGGCGGGAACCGCTGAGCCCAAGTAGAAGGGGGTAAAGAGTCAGTGGCTCATACCTATAATCCTAGCTACTCTAGAGGCTGAGATCTGAGGATTCCAGTGTGAAGGTAGCTGAGGCAGAAAAGAAGTCTGAGACTTTTATTTGCAACTAACCACTAAAAAGCCAGGAGAAGAGCTGTGGCTTCAGTCGAAGAGCACCAGCCTTGAGTAAAAAAGACAAAGGATAGAGTCCAGGCCTAGTACCAGCATGAAAAAAAAATAAGGAAAAGAAAAGAAGGCAGTAAAGCTGCTCCAGTAATCTCATCATTAAACATTTTTGCTATAATGTTCTCTATAGTCAAAATCTCTCTTTGTGGTTTTGTTGTTGTTACTGTTTGATTGAGGGCATGCGCTCTACCACTGAGTTACATCCCCAGCTCCCAAATGCTTCTCTGTCTCTCTGTCTGTGTCTGTGTCTGTTTGTCTGTGTCTGTTTGTCTCTCTCTCTCTCCAGTCAATACAAAAGCAACATTTACACTGCTAAAATTTTGGATGTTGCTGGGTGGAAAGAAGCCTTGATTAGTTCTACTATAAGTTTACCATTAGTTAAGTGAGAAAACTTAGGCAAAATGTTTGCATTCTATGTGTGAGCATATGTGCATGCACGCGTGTGCGCATGCCTGATTGCTGGTCCTAGGGCTTCAATTTGGGGCCTTGGAACTGTCCAAGGCTAGTGCTCTACCACTTGAGCCATAGCTCTACTTCCAGCTTTTTTGGTGATTAATTGGAGATAAGAGTTTCCTGGATTTTCCTACCCAGCTGGCTTTGAACGATGATCCTCAGATCTCAGTCTCCTGAGGAGCTAGGGTTACAGGTATGAGCCCCAGGCAGCCATCTTGTTTGCGATCTTTCTTCATCTCTGATTTGAGTCTGCTGTCATAGTGACTAGTTCCTGAATATTTGCGATGTCTCACATATGTAAACACTTAGAACCTGTGAGCCAGTGTTGCGGTGATGACAGTGTGAAAAGCTGAGTCTGGTACATTGGCTTCACTGTAGAAATAAACGGACTGTAAGTTACCCTGGTACTTACTGGCCTTGGAGTGTGCACTGCATGAGTTAATAAACGCTGCACTGTATCTTCCACAGAGTCTGACTGGGCGGCCAGGCTGCTTGCCTTTCCATTGTTGGCAGGAGGCTAGGCCTCTGATCTTTGTACTTTGGGGACCTTTGAACCTGAAATTGCAACAAAA